ATGGTGACCACTAACTAAAAACATGTATAGTATAGCTACCAACAGGATAACCACTAACTTAAAACATGTACAGTGTAGCTACCAACAGGATGACCACTAACTAAAAACCTGTACAGAGTAGCCACCAACAGGATGACCACTGACTTAAAACCTGTATAGTGTAGTTACCAACATAATGACCAACAACTAATAACCTGTACAGTGTAGTTACCCACAGGATGACCACTAACTAATAACCTGTATATTGTAGCTACCAACAGGATGACCACTAACTCAAAACTTATATAGTATAGTTACCAACAGGACATCCACTAACTAAAAACCTGTACAGTGTAGCTACCAACAGGATGACCACTAAAAAAAACCTGTACAGTGTAGCTACCAACAGGATGACTAACTGACATTAACACGGATAAAAAAAACGGCGCATAATTTAGAAAGCAGGATGGAATGAGATCGCTACTATAGGTAGCTAGCTAAGGTTTATTTGGATATATACTGCCATTCAAGAAACAAAAATAGAAACACCACAGTATTCATGAATTCTAATCATAAAATTTGATCGAAATCGAAGTATTTGTGAAAGGTCAATAGAAATTTTAAATCGTCAGACCGTTGGAAGAGAGAACCATTTTTTATTGAATTAGTGAGTCTGTCGAGCCTCTTGCCTTTGTAGTTAAAAGATTACAAATCATTTCCTATTTAATATCTATTTTTTCAGTGATGCAGTTGTATAAAAGACATTACAATGAAAGCTACATGGTGGAAACTACTTTATGATAATAATTGTTTTAAAAGAAATATCATACTTACAGATGAGGCGTTCATATCGACCAACTTTAATGCTAAAATATTCAAAGTATATGGTACCTGTATGTAATCTGTAATGCAAGGATAGTATGTCAGCTTAATTTGGCTTCATTTATAGAACACATTCTACAAGCTTTGAAATATACACGCCAGAGAATAGAACAATAGGAACATCGTGGCTAAAAACGGAAAGTTTGTGATGCAAAGTTTAAATCGACTCTTTTGCCGTATATTTTATTTTAGTTTTTTTTCTATTTTGAACCAATACAGTTATGTCTAAGATGGACAATATTATAAGCTTTATTCGGCTTAAGTTCTTTTGGATAAATGCATTTAACATATTAAATAAAGTAGGGATTATCAACAATAAACTTGTACCTTATCAAGGTATTATTGCTAAAAATGTCGATTAAATTGTTAAAAATTGTGTGTAGTATTTTGTCGACTACTATCTTTTTCGTCGTTTTTCTTTTAACCAAAGTGTAAGTTTTCCTTCGACTAATGGATTGTGTTGCACCTTCTGACATATTCTCCCTCTTTGTTAATGTACAAAATTGTTGAAACTTCCAACTTGTAAATTTCCCATGATCAAGGACTCTCTACAAACTTGTACAGTGATCAAGGACTGTCTACATACATGTAAATGTTCTGTGATCAAATAATTTCTACACACTTGTGTGCATGTACCGTGATCTAGGACTATACACACTTGTAAATGCCCTGTGATCCTTGATTCTGTACACACTAGTAGATGTCCTGTGATCTACGACTCTCTACATACTTGTACATGTACCGTGATCCAGGAATTTTTACATACTTGTACATGTACCTCGCTCTTAGACTCTCTACCTCCTTTTCATATACCGCGCTCTTATAATCTCTCCATGCTTTTACATTTACCGTGATCTAGAACTCTCTAAATACTTGTACATGTACCCTGATATAGAACTCTCTAAATACTTGTACATGTACCGTGATATAGAACTCTCTACATACTGGTAGATGTACCGTGATATAGAACTCTCTACATACTGGTACATGTACCGTGATATAGAACTCTCTACATACTGGTACATGTACCGTGATATAGAACTCTCTATATACTGGTACATGTACCGTGATATAGAACTCTACATACTGGTACATGTACCGTGATGCAGGACTCTCTACATACTTGTACATATTTCCTGATCTAGGACTTTCTACCTAATGGTACATGTACCTTTATCTATGACTCTCTACAAACTTGTACATGTTCCGTGATCCAGTGCTCTCTTCATACTTGTAAAATTCCTGTGATCCCGGACTCTCCCTACCTATAAATGACTTTTATGTACCTTGATCTAGGACCCTCTGCATACTTGCAAATATATCGTTATCAAGAAATCTCTGTATTCTTGTACATGTTTCGTGATCTGGGACTCTCTACACAATTAGACATGTACCTTGATCTTGGACTCACTAAACATTAAAATGCACCATAAACGGCATCCAGCTAAAGGCAAACTTTCCTTGACCGAATAATTCATTTAAACACTTTTTTTTTCATTGAGTTGATATCTCATTAATGTGTACCCTAAATATACTTTTATACAAGCTTTTTTACCAAGGAGAAAAACTTTTTTTAATTTTTTTATTTATCTTTTTGGTGTTCAAACTACAGTGCAAACATACATTGTTACAAGACATAAGTGAATGACATTTATGAAATTGTTATAATTGTTATTATGCGAATAAGAAATAGTAAAAATTTACAAGTCTACGAAGTGAATACACAGTATATGATACATCTTAAGAATACTTTGGAGTTCATTAAATATATAATCATATTCAAAATAAATTAAATAATATCCATAAATCCCACCCCATCTGTCGATATATGACTCGTGTTTGTCTTTCGAAAGATATAAATATTCTAAAATTTCCAGACGTCTTTTCAAAAATTTAAGGAAATTTTGCACAGATATTAACAGTCTGTCTAATTGTGTGATCTTTACATAATTTATGTAATACTTTGCCTGTAGAATACAATAATTTAAAACTAAGTTATAAGAATTCAAAACACCAAAAATGACACTGTCTTTATTCAAAAATATTCTTACTCCAAAAACAAAATACCACCAATTAGAAAATTCTCTCCAAAATTGTTTTATTTCTGTACATTCAAAAAATTTATGCTCTATTGTTTTTATCTCTTTATAACTGGCACATTCATTAGTTTCAGAAAGTTTATATTTTTCAAGAAGATAATTATGAGAGACTATTCTGTGTAAAATTTTATATTGGAAAGCTTGTAGTTTGCTTTCTATAGTACATTTCAAAGCCAGTGAATAAATATTTTTCCATTTTTCATCACTAATTTCTGTATTAAAACTTTCTTCCCACCTTTGTTGTGAAATAGGAGAAACATTTCCCTGATCGATAAAAAGTGAATAAACATCTTTAGCAAATAATTTACTGATAGGCATTTTTTTATTATCATGCTCAAAAACGAATCCAAATGAGTTGCTGTTAGGTGACATGTGTTGCTGTAATAACAAATCTTTCCATTCACTTGGTATAGCAAGTTTAATGGATAGAATGTCTACAAAAGTAACATTCAGGTTATATTTTTGGTTAATAGCGCCATGAGACAAAAATTTGCCATCTACAATATCATAAGATCTGTAAAAAATACTCGTTCTGTCAACTTTGATAAAAGGATTGAACCAAATAAATTCTTTTCTCACATGAAAGAGGGAAGAATGCTTTGGAAACATGTTTCCATTTGGAATCATGTTCTGACAGAAATCTTTTTACCCACATAATACGAAAGGATAACAGCTGTAATTCCAAATTTGGGGCTTTTAGTCCCCCCCCCCCCCCGCTAGGAGACTTTTGAATAACTTCCAATTTAACTCTCGGATTACCACGATTCCATAGAAAATGTTAACATCACGTTGTATTTTAATTACACGAGATTTTGGTACATGAGTAGGTGAAATGGCATAAATAAACTTCGATATTGCAAGTGATTTATGTTTAAAATATTACCGATCAAGGAAAGGTTTCTGATCTTCCACATTTTAATTATTGATTCCATTTTTTCTATAGATATAAGAAGATGTGGTATGAGTGCCAATGAGACAACTCTCCATCCAAGTCAAAATTTATAAAAGTAAACCATTATAGGACAAAGTACGGTCTTCAACACGGAGCCTTGGCTCACACCGAACAGCAAGCTATAAAGGGCCCCAAAAATTACTAGTGTAAAACCATTCAAACGGGAAAACCATGCATGTATCTAAATTAGAACTAACCATTTCTTCAAAAGCATTAAATCTTAAACCTAAGGTTTTAAAACCATCTGTCCATTTAATGGGAAGGGAACCTTTTTTGTTAAATTTATTTCTTCCAATCCATGTTGCTTCGGTTTTAGAAAAATTAACTTTTAACCCTGGACACTTCTCAAAATTGTTAAAGGAATTCAATAAAATTTGCGCAGAAAATACATCTTTCAGAAAACAAGTAGTATCATCAGCCAACTGTGAAATTTTATTTCAGTGTCCCCAATTTTTATACCAGATATCTGATTGTTCTTACGAATACATATTGCCAGCAGTTCCACTGCCAAAATAAATAAAAAGGGAAGACAAAGGACACCCTTGTCGAACACCTCTCTCAATTTTGAATGAAATAGAACTAAATCCATTATTAACGACAAGACTAGATATATTTGAGTGTAAAGTTAAGACCCATTTCCAGAACTTGTTACCAAAATTAAAACAAACCTATGCTTTTTGAATAAATTTCCATTCTAGCGTATCAAACTCCTTTTCAAAATCGACTAGTAATATAAGACCTGGATAATTCTTTAATGTAGTAAACAATATAATATCAGCAATGAGTCGTAGATTTTCACCAATGTATCTACCAGCCACATATACCGTCTGATCCGGATCTATAAGTTTTGGAAGAAATAATTTCATTCTTTCCGTAATAACTTTGGCTAATAATTTGTAATCAAAATTTAAGAGAGAAAGAGGACCCCAGTTCGACAAGATTGTTCTGTTTTGATCTTTCTTTGGGATAAGAGACAGAATACCCCGTCTTTGGTCTATTGAGAGGGTTCCGGTCTCGAAAGAGAAAAACTATAGAACAGAACCTACTTGTTGTCTTGTTACAAAAATGTATACAGTTAAAATACACCATTAACAAAATAAAGTTAGTTTTATTATCAAAAAAGTAAGACACATTCACAAAGCCGTTTGCTAAAATCTGGATGGACGGCAGAAAGACCATGGCGAGTTCAACACTTTTTGTAGAAATGCCGTTTCTGTTCACTATAGTCATTTTAGAATGAAGAAGTTGTGGTTATCCTGTACCAGTAAACTGACGATTTTGTCGATTGGGTGTTCCGGCAGCTTGTTGCGCCGTTTGTTGGTTTGTTACACCTGTACTTCCCGGTTGAGCTGGTTGTTGAGGCATTCCAAACTGATTGAACTGTCCGCCACCCATCTGAGCTCTTGCAAATTGATTAGCTTGCTGTTGTTGTTGCTGCATAGCTTGTCTTCTTCTCAACTCCATTTCTTGAACTGCCTGCATTTGTCTTTGTCGTTGAAGCTCCATCTCTCGACGGATTTTGGTTACATTAGCCAGGATTTCTTGTTTTACACTCAGATACTGAAAACAATTGATAAAAGATTAATGAAAAATTGAATTGAAAAAAAAAGCATTTTTGTAGCTATACTTATTGGTTTATGAGGATTACCAGTTTGTCATTATCTAATGTTATAACATAAAACATGCAATAGTCTATAGATTAATGACTTACAATTTTGACATTGAAATAAAATAAAATATGAAAAAAACTGCCAAATTTATAAATCATTTAAAAGCCATTTTTGCGTTTTATTTACTGAATACAACTATTTAAGAAGACATTCTTCACTAGCAAAAAAAAAGAAGGAAAACGAATCTGATTAACATGCTACTGATGACAAAATAATGACTATATGTCACTTTTACAACACTGTCGAGTCAACAGGAACAGGACCATGGAAATTATATTACTTTTTTGATAACATGACTATCATCCCACTTTAAACTTTACAGTGGCGGATCCAGAACTTTTTATAAGGGAGGGCCCACTGACTGCCATAAGAGGGGGCCCGCTACAGTCATGCTTCAGCGATTCCCTATATAATCAACTAAATTTGTCCCACAAAAGGGGGAGGACTGGCCACCCCCATCCCCTCCCCCCCCCCTGGATTCGCCTATGCATTAATATATATATTCAATTCGAAATTAAGATAAAAAAAAACATTTTATTAAGAGAATTTTCATGACGGCAATTAATGATATAACACAACATTCATGTTAATAGAATAATGCATAAAAAACAAGAGCATCAATTCCAAGATTTGACAGCAGAAGTGATGTATATAGGACTTAACAGTAGAAGTTTCGCGGATACTTATCTTTAATTTGATGGTCGCAAATATTCGTATACTGGCGCCACTCATTTTATAATTATTGAAGTAGAAGCAAGAAACAAAAAAATTAAGTAAAAAAGTTTGTACTATTTTGTTTTCGTATTTTTGGGCTATGTATGTATTCTAAAAAGTGGACATAGATTCTCCATGTAGAGTATTATCAACCTTCAGATGTCCATTTAGATTTTTGTGTTGATTGGTTGCTGTCTCATTGACGTATATCTTATATCTTTTTTTGTGTGCTATTATGTTACTTTTATCAAAATTTTAACGCAACGTCATAATTGATTACAGACATTATTTTTGTCATTACCCAGAATGCATCAAACTTATAGTAAATACTTACGACTAACGGCATCGTCTGCTCAATGCTCTCAAGTCTTCTGTTCTGCTTGCCATTAAATCTATAAAATTTTAAAACATGAATTGAACTAGACGTTGAACTCGTTTTAAAATAGATATAGTAGTTGTTTGAAAACAAAAATATTTAACGATAAACCGTGTTTGTATTTACATGAGCAACATGACAGATGCCACAGGTGGAGCAGGATCTGCTAAATCTTCCGGAGCATGATCACCCCGGTTTTTAGTGTGGTTCATGTTTTTAGTTTTTTATGTTGTGTTTTTTATACTGTTGTTTATCTTTCCGTCGTTCTTCGTTTTTTGCCAAGACATTGTCAGTTTGTTTTCGACTTATGCATTTGAATGTCCCTTTGGTATTTTTTCGCTTCTGTTGTTCTTGTGTATTCCATAAACTACATAAATACACGTAAACAACTTTGTATCGATTCTACGAAAAATTAAAAAAAAACAACATATGAATGACTTACAAAGTGCGCATTTGAAAGTCTTTCAATTTTAGAGTAGTAACATCAGTTGTGTTTTTGATGTTACTCCAATCTGCCAGGGAACTCTTTATTTGCGGAGTTAGTCCAGGGTAAGATGTGTCAACTCGTAATATATCTCTAGTTCCCCGTTTTTCTTTCCTGAAAATATATAATGATGATAATCAAAATAAGATTTTATTACTTTGAAGCGATATCAGGAAAAACGTAAAATGTAAAAGACTATACGTAAATATAGTTAGTTGTGTATAATACAAAAGTGGCACAAATAAAATGAAGTGTGTGCGTGTCCAACAAAGAAATTATTCTCAATACAGTTGTACATATTTGTAAATTGAGAATATCTAAAATGGGTTGTTTAAGGAAATAACATGTTTTGCATTGAATCAAAGCTTTCATTTTTGGGGATATTAAAACTTACCATAACATCTTAATTATACTCTTTGATAAAAACTACACAGAATAGCAAAACAAGTCCCTTTTGAAATATTTTCTTAAAACACAGTTCAAACACATGCATTGTTCCGAACTTGTTTTTCTGCCTTATCGTTGATTTCGATATATGTATATGCTAAATTGTATTTTTATTTATTTAAGAGTCCGCTTAAGCAAATAGATATATACATATATAGTGAAATTATAAATTATAACAACTATTTTTATACACTCATTAGCGTGTTAAAGTTACATTCTTAGGCATTCTTAGTACTGATAATACACTGTTGACACAGAGATATGTCTCGCCTATAGGCATAAAATTCAGAAAAAGACAATCTGATGACAGCAACATTGCTTATTAATTAAAAGTCGCTGGACCATGATCTTGTGGGTAGGGCATAGGAATGGTCGACAAACTGAGATGTACTGATAGTAATGCAACTTTATACAAAATACCATAGATCTGTCACAAGTAGTTCTAATCAAACTAAATTAAGCAGAAAACTTAACATTGAAAATGGCTAATTAATTCATAGTCACTGGACCAAGACCTAGGAGGCAGGGCCTCAAAATGGTTCAAACATATATGTAATAATAGTAATACAACTTCATACAAAATATCATTGATCTATCACAAGTAGATCCTATCAAACGAACTCCAAGCAGAACACTTAACATTGAAATTGCTTATTAATTCAAAGTCACTGGACCTTGACCTAGGAGGCAGGGCCTCAAAATAGTCGTCAAATTGATATGTACTGATAGTAATGCAACTTCATACAACATATCTTTGATCTATCACAAGTAGATCCTATCAAACGAACTCAAGCAGTAAACTTAAGATTGAAAATTGCTTATTAATTCAGTCATTAGACCATGTCCCAGGGGCCAGGGCCTAAAAAATAATCGCCAAATTGATCATAGTAATGCAACTTTATATTACATATCAATGTTCTATCACAAGTAGTTCCTATCAAACTAACAGAAAACTAAACAATTGTCCTTTACAAATTAAGTTTAATACAACTAAGTTAGGTACAATAACATTCAGTTATAGCTCTAAGTGGACTGGATTCATGACAGCGTGGTGAATGATTGGTTGTAATTGTAACTTTTTATACTTACTTTGCACCAGGCGGTAGTACATTTGGTTTTACATTCAAAACATTAACCAATCGTGGATATTCTTTATTTCCGATGATACTGGCAACACGTGTCCAGTCTTTGTCACGTGCAACGAGATCTGGTTTTGAAAATATGACTTCCGGACCAGTTTGAGGGTTAAAGATTTGTGTAGGAGGTAAGTAAGTGTCTTCCCATTTTGCTTTGTGGTATGCTCTCTCGGCAAAAGGTATCAGTCGAGGTAACAACAATTTAAACAAAGTATCCTCATCCTTTACAAACCTTGTGCTAAGTGATGCTTGCATACCTATAAAAAGAAGTTTTTCAAATGAATGTCAAATATGTAATACTGATTGTAGATTGCAATAGCTGCTATGTCTTTCATGCGCAAGCCAGGAACAAATAAGCAAAATATGGACTCCCTTTTTAAAGGAATGAATAAATAAATGAATGTACTAATTAATCACTTGAATGGTGTTCTTCTTTTCAACCTTACTTTTAATACAAAATATATTAATAAGCTGAACATTAACAACACAACATATCATTTTTAATACTGAAATGCTGTGTATGAAGCGAATAAAACCTTAAGGGAATAAGAGTCAACAAGCAGTGGTTCTGATCCAGTGTGAATAAAACATTATGTAGCAGTCATGAGCCTGTAATTCAGTAGTCATTGTTTGTTACTGTATGTCATATTTGTTTTGCGCTCGTTGTTTGTACATAAATCAGGCCATTAGTTTTCTCGTTTGACTTGTTTTATATTTTGTCATGTCGGGACATTTTATAGCTTATTATTCTGGGTTTGCACATTGTAGAAGGCCGTACGATGACCAATAGTTATTAACATCTACGTCATTTGGTCTCTGATGGGTAGTTGTTTCACTGGCAATCATACCAAATCTCCTGGTTTTCTTTTAATTTTTTTCATTTTTCATGATACAGAGTTTAGTTCACGTCCGAAACTAGTTTTTGACCTTCAGGGCCGCTGCAAGTGAAGATGGTATTACGAATGGCTTCCGTAAAATAACCGTACTAAAAGCTTTAGTTTTTAATTTATTGCTCATTTATGCGAAGTTTATATAATAGAAAATGAAAGGATATGGAGTAAATGTACATGGGACAAAATCGCACACAATACATAGAAAAAAAATTATCAATGAACAGGGCTTTTATTCCTGTTCTTCATCTTGACAGTTGATGTAGGGTCTTCAACAATGAACGAATCATTCCTACCCTACAACAAGGTCAAGACTGCCCTAGCGTAGACTTGCATTACTATAAAGGTTTGTGGCTTTCTCCAATCAAAATGGACGTTACAATGAAATAAACCTTGTTTCAGAATTTTATTTATATAACCATATATTCTAGCCATAGCTAAAATCTTGGTAACTATAATTTATACTGTTATAACGAATTTTTCCCGAAGGGACTCGAAGTCAGGTTGTATTATGACAGTTAATTAGATTAAAGTGTGGATTCTGTAATGATTTGTTTACTTTGTGTTTCTTACCTTGAACATGTATCAATGCCTGTATTACAACAGCATGTCTCATGAACACTGAATTAACCATTTGTATTAAATCATTGAAATAAAAAAATTAGAATAACAAAAATACCGAACTCCAAGGAAAATTCAAAACCGAATGTCCCTTATCAAATGGCAAAATCAAAAGCTCTTCAAACACACCAAGTGAATGGAAAACAACTGTCATTATCCTGACTTGGTATAGGAAGTGATATATAATTTCAAGTTTGTTTCTTCAAAGGAGAGTTTATTCTGAGGATGCAATCACAAACAACGAAGAAGACAGTTAATATAATTACAAAACATAACACAAAAGGACAAACACAAGTCCAAAAAACATCACACAGAAAGACAAACACCAGTCCGAAAAACATCATACAGAAAGACACACAACAGTATACAAAACATCACACAGAAAGACAAACAACAGTCCACAAAACACCACACAGAAGGACAGACAACAGTCCAAAAAACATCACACAGAAGGACAGACAACAGTCTACAAAACATAACACAAAAGGACAAACACCAGTCCACAAAACATCACACAGAAGGACAAACACCAGTCCAAAAAACATCATACAGAATGACAAACAACAGTCCACAAAACATCACACAGAAGGACAGACAACAGTTCAAAAAACATCACACAGAAGGACAAACACCAGTCCACAAAACATCACATAGAACGACAAACAACAGTCCACAAAACATCACACAGAAGGACAAACAACTGTTAACAAAACATCACATAGAACGACAAACATCAGTCCACAAAACATCACACAGAAGGACAAACAACAGTCCACAAAACATCACACAGAAGGACAAACAACAGTATACAAAACATCACACAGAAGGACAAACAACAGTGTACAAAACATCACACAGAAGGACAAACAACAGTCTACAAAACACCACACAGAAGGACAAACAACAGTCCACAAGCATCACACAGAAGGACATACAACAGTCAAAAAAACATCATACAGAAGGACAAACACAAGTCCACAAAACATCACACAGAAGGACAAACACCAGTCCAAAAAACATCATACAGGACAAACACAAGTCCACCAAACATCACATAGAACGACAAACAACAGTCCACAAAACATCAAACAGAAGGACAAACACCAGTCCACAAAACACCACACAGAAGGAAAAACACCAGTCTACAAAACATCACACAGAAGGACAAACACCAGTCAACAAAACATCACACAGAAGGACAAACAACTGTTAACAAAACATCACATAGAACGACAAACATCAGTCCACAAAACATCACACAGAAGGACAAACACCAGTCCACAAAACATCACATAGAACGACAAACAACAGTTTACAAAACATCACACAGAAGGACAAACAACTGTTAACAAAACATCACATAGAACGACAAACATCAGTCCACAAAACCTCACACAGAAGGACAAACAACAGTCCACAAAACATTACACAGAAGGACAAACAACAGTAAAAAACATCACACAGAAGGACAAACAACAGTCCACAAAACATAACACAGAAGGACAAACAACAGTATACAAAACATCACACAGAAGGACAAACACCAGTCTACAAAACACCACACAGAAGGACAAACAACAGTCCACAAACATCACACAGAAGGACAAACATCAGTCCACAGAACATCACACAGAAGGACAAACACCAGTCCATAAAACATCACACAGAAGGACAAACATCAGTCCACAAAACATCACACAGAAGGACAAACAACAGTCCACAAAACATCACACAGAAGGACAAACAACAGTATACAAAACATCACACAGAAGGACAAACACCAGTCCACAAAACATCACACAGAAGGAGAAACATCAGTCCACAAAACACCACAGAGAAGGACAAACAACAGTCCACAAAACATCACACAGAAGGACAAACACAGTCTACAAAAAACCACACAGAAGGACAAACATCAGTTCACAAAACATCACACAGAAGGACAAACACCAGTCCACAAAACACCACACAGAAGGACAAACACCAGTCCACAAAACACCACACAGAAGGACAAACACCAGTCCCCAAAACACCACACAGAAGGACAAACACCAGTCCACAAAACATCACACAGAAGGACAAACATCAGTCCACAAAACACCACAGAGAAGGACAAACAACAGTCCACAAAACATCACACAGAAGGACAAACACAGTCTACAAAACACCACACAGAAGGACAAACATCAGTTCACAAAACATCACACAGAAGGACAAACACCAGTCCACAAAACACCACACAGAAGGACAAACACTAGTCCACAAAACATCACATAGAACGACAAACAACAGTCCACAAAACACCACACAGAAGGACAAACAAACAACAGTCTACAAAACATCACACAGAAAGACAAACACCAGTCCACAAAACACCACACAGAAGGACAAACAACAGTCCACAAAACATCACACAGAAGGACAAATACCAGTTCACAAAACACCACACAGAAGGACAAATACCAGTCCACAAAACATCACACAGAAAGACAAACACCAGTCCACAAAACATCACACAGAAGGACAAATACCAGTTCACAAAACACCACACAGAAGGACAAACAACAGTCCACAAAACATCACACAGAAGGACAAACAACAGTCCACAAAACACCACAAAACACAATCCCAATCAATAAGTATATGAAAGGAAATGTGGCATTTGTGAAGTTTGTCTGTTAAATTTTTTTTCAATGTTATCATATATGGAACATGCAGTTATGAAGAAAATGTTAGTTTTTACCTAAGATATTGTCTTTTTCAGTCAGTCGTTCACATTGATCCGGGACTGTGCAGCCAAACGATCCCGCATCTGTTAGTTCAAAATTACAGCACAGATTTTCAGGCAGGAAGTTGAAAACCTTTGTGGCATTGATGTGTCGTATTCTAGAATCATATTCACCGGGCATTTCTGAGTCTGGCTCGGCTGCAAACTCTAAGCTTGTATAGTCCGATGGCTGTAGGATAACCTATAAAAATAACAAAGGAATTTATAGGAAATCTGATTGCTATGCAGTTTCTCATCAATTATAGAGAATTCAGTTTTATAAAAGTTGATTCTTCACATCTCATTTAGACACACGTATTGGTAAATTATGGATATGTTGTGTGAAAAACTAAAGTTACCATAGTAATCTTCGGTGGTTTTTAGTCGTCTCTGTGTGAATCATCATCAAATAAATGTTAAAGGTAGCCTAGAAACCGTTCTTAATCGTACATAACATAATCAGTCAACTTTTACCTTAAACGGTTTTGGCTGTTCTGTTTTGACCATTTTAGGCTGTTTTGGTTTTTTAATGCATTAAAACATTTCATATTTTCTGAATTTTCAATCTTTTGATCTTTTGCGTTCCTGATTAAACTATCCCAGAAACAAGTGTTGTACGTACGGAAAAACAGATTACTAGTATATTTTCGTTTGGTTGGTTGATTTGGGTTTTTTTCACATTAGAATATTTTACAATGAAAAAATCTTTTATCTAGTCTACTGTAAAGTGAAACTTATAACTAATTACCTTATAACCACTATTAGCCATGAGTATAACTAATTACCTTATAACCACTATTAGCCATGAGTATAACTAATTACCTTATAACCACTATTAGCCATGAGTATAATTATTTACCTAATAACCACTATTAGCCATGAGTATAACTAATTACCTTATAACCACTATTAGCCATGAATATAATTATTTACCTAATAACCACTATTAGCCAGGATTATAACTAATTACCTTATAACCACTATTAGCCATGAGTTGAGGTCTTCGCCTTTGTGGGAATTGGTTAATCGTTTTAGAGACACTGATAATATCGCTTTTGTTTCCAAATCTTGATCTGCTGAATGGAGTCAGGAAAGGTATAATCCTAGGTGGCCCTAAACGTGATGGCCATGCCATGTAAAATTCCTCTAAGCTTATCAAACCAACGCCATGTTTTGTTGCTAGTTCTCCTAAAGCCATGCTGTAATTTACTTTAAGTTCTAAGTACAGGTCTTCTTTCTCTAAGTGAAGTAGACGTTGACAATGTGTGGAATTGAGCCATGCAGGAGGTGGACTATCATCCCCACCCACGTGTACATATTTGAGCGGAACGCCTGCGTTGTCATGATAATTTTTAAGCTTCATTAAAATGAATTCGAAAAATTTCACAGTAGAATCATTTGGGAGACATGGATTGACAGCAGAGTCTGAATACAGTGTTGATGTCATATATCTAGGGATATCAGTCGGATCTTGTAACGCCATGGATTTATCTTTAGTTGTAAGTAAGTGTACCCTCATAGCCCTAATAGCAGCTCTTGCTTTTACTCCCATGTGTATTTGAGGTATTATCTCAATATTTCGGACAGCCGCATATTTAAGAAGATCTTGGTAATTCAGAACGGTTAAATATCCTCCATCGCTTCCATCTGGTTTTGATCCTAATTGTGAAAAGAGACAGCTATTCTCTGATGGATCGTGACATCGTTTACCACCAATCTAAATACACAAAATCACACTATATCGTATAACAACGAATATTTATATATATAAATGTACACAGATGAATGTAAATATTGTGACATTGTTTATCACCAACTTAATTAATTAAAAGGAGTGTAGAATCCATTTTCCTTACATAATAATTATATGTCTACTGCTTTACTCAGACTTGCGGATATGTGATTTAACCGTAAATTCGTGCACTTTCGTGGCACCAAGTTTCATTATTAGTAAACTCATCGTAGCTCAAGGTTCCTTAACTACCATTAACACGGCGGTCAATCGAGAAATCAGGGTAAGTTCAATAGACACTCAAGACTCATTAACTACCATTAACACGGCAGTCATTCGAGGAATCAGGGTAAGTTAAATAGACACTCAAGGCTCATTAACTACCATTTACACGGCGGTCATTCGAGGAATCAGGGTAAGTTCAATAGGCACTCAAAGCTCATCAATCTACCATTAACACGGCAGTCATTCGAGGAATTAGGGTAAGTTCAACAGACACTCAAGGCTCATTAATCTACCATTGACACAGCGGTCATTCGAGGAATCAGGGTAAGTTTGTTTGACACTCAAGACTCATTAATTACCATCAACACGGCGGTCATTCGAGGAATCAGGGTAAGTTCAATAGACACTCATGGCTCATTAATCTACCATTAACACGGCAGTCATTCGAGGAATTAGGGCAAGTTCAATAGACACTCAAGGCTCATTAATCTACCATTGACACAGCGGTCATTCGAGGAATCAGGGTAAGTTCAATAGACACTCAAGGTTCATTAACTACCATTAAAATTGCAGTCATTCGAGGAATCAGGGTAAGTTCGTTTGACACTCTAGACTCATTAACTACCATTAAAACGGCGGTCATTCGAGGAATCAGGGTAAGTTCAATAGACACTCAAGACTCATTAACTACCATTAAAACGGCAGTCATTCGAGGAATGAGGGTAAGTTCGTTTGACACTCAAGGCTCATTAACTACCATTTACACAGCGGCCATTCGAGGAATCAGGGAAAGTTCGATAGATATTCAAGACTCATTAACTACCATTGACACGGCGGTCATTTGAGGAATCAGGATAAGTTCAATAGACCTTCATGGCTCATTAATCTACCATTGACACGGCAGTCATTCGAGGAATCAGGGTAAGTTCGTGTCTTATTTTTATTTTGTTTTGCTTCAAGTCAAAGTATTAAAACCTTCTAGCAAGCAAGAAGAAAACACACACAAGTATTAAACTCAACTTAACATCAGTTAGTAATGTTTGTTTTGAACCAAATTGTGTTTTATGACATTCGTTATTATAATAGTTTTAATGTCCATTTTAAAAACCATGTTCGTTTTTATACTGAAAAGATTTTTTGAAAGATTTTTGGGGTTTGTTGTTATTTAAACCAACCAAAACCTAACAACAGGCTGACGCAAACAAAACATTTGGCCTAAAACAAAGTCAAATTCGTGGTGTGAAGCAAAACAAAGAAAAACAAAAGTTTGGCCTAACACAAAGTCTAGTTCATTAACTGACGCAAAACAAAGAAAAACACAAGTTTGGCCTAACACAAAGTCTAGTCCATTAACTTACGCAAAACAAAGAAAAACACAAGTTTGGCCTTACACAAAGTCGAGTCCATTGACTGGCGCGTAACAAAAAAGAACACAAGTTTGACCTTACACAAATTTACTTCCGTTAACTGGCGCTTAACAAAAAAGAACACAAGTTTGACCTTACACAAAGTCGAGTCCGTTGACCGACAATAAACAAAAACGAACAACAAATTAGACCTAACACAAAAACAAGTCCGTTGAGAGTTATTTCGAAGTATTGAAGAGTTAAATAATGCTTTTAATATGGTAATTACATTCAGGTCGATGTTAAAATTGACGTTTAACAAAACATGCAAGTAATAACTAATCTAATGTATCTTAAAAACGAGATAGCTATATGTATTTAAAAAGCAAAACAAAATCTAGATCTACACAAAAAATCCAATTTAATGGAACTGCACCAAAACAATTATGGTATTTTTGCTCATCTGTGAATACTTTGTATTACGGCAGTATATTTTTGTTACTGGTAATCTTTTGCATGAAAATTTAAAAGGTATCTGGCTTTTATTACAGTAAATCAAATATTTATAAATAACACAAGGACAAGAAAACTCATACATCATGTACGTGCTAAAAAAAAAGCTAATGACAAATTATGTCTTTATCTTTTTTTTTCATTTTCTTTGTCACGTGATTTATGTAGTTTTTTTTTGCCAGGTGGTTTATGTATATTTCTTTCAAAAGCGGTCTTATTTAATATGATACAACAAATGATACCAAAAACAATAGTGCATTTAGAGAATATCACAATACTACCAGTAATGGACAGTAAATTCTAATTAGAATATTCAATAGATGATTAATAGGTTTAAATACATATTGCGCCATTAAACAATTTTAAACTTTAAGTTCAACTCACTGATTTATAAAGTAAATGCATACAGGTATAAAAACTGAAAAGCCATTAAAATCGTTTAGGTGGTTGCGTAGGCAATTGCAGAAACAAATAAGATAATAGAAATTTTGTAAAACTAAAAGTATAAAGTTTTACAAAATTTCTATGCCTTAATAAATTATGAAACAACCCTGTATTTCTATTCTATTTTGCCTCTCGCGATATAGCCCCTTCGCGCCGACACGACGTTTAGCAACAATCAACTGATTATTAATCTATTTTACCTTAATAAGTAGATTATGTTGCACTTGAGAACGTTAGTGAAGATTATGGTATTTCTTCCGCTTTTTCTATAGTATAAGTTAGAATTGCCAAAAAAGTTTCACATTGTAACTCGCGGCTCATATTTTACGATATCAATGTGGAGTAAACGCGATAATCTAAACATCTCCGTTAGTTTGTGATTATGTCAGTTTATTGGGAATCACTAGTGGTATAGCAATGGTATTTGGTATGAAGATTTATTAGCATTGGCACATCTTATTTTTATGGTAATTATTTGGTTCCTCCCCATCAGTTTGAGGCCCCAACCCATCATCATGGTTCATTGACTTTACAACTTTTGCATATTTACAAGTTCAATCATGTGTTTATGTTAGTTTAATAGAACCACTTATAATAAGTCAATGGTATTTGGTATGCAGTTTATAAGCATTGGCATTTTTTATTTCCATGGAGGTTATTTCGCCCTGCATCTTATGTCATGGTTCATTGACTTTGAATGTTTTGCATAGTTTACCTGTTTAAATATTTCCATTCAAATTTCAACATTTGCATTATACTATCAAACGCGAGACATATCTCTGTGTCAACAGTTTATAATACTAGTATACTATTTATCTCAGTAAGTGAGGTATCGTCGGCGCTTCTTTTTTATATTTACCTCAGTAACTCCGATGTTTCTTTTTCTATATTTACTTTGTCTCCGGTATTTCTATTTTTATATTTACTTCAGTAAAGGTATCTCCGGTGTTTCTGTTTTCACATTTACTTCGATTAATGAGTGGTATCTCTATTTATATATTCAATGTGACTACCGAATTAGACTTATCACTGGGTTTGTACTTGCATGAGCAACACGACGGGTTCCACATATGGAGCAAGATATGCCTACCCCTCCGGAGCACCTGAGATCAACCCCGCTTTTTGGAGGGGTTTGTGTTTGTCTTTTTGTCTTTTTCTTGCCATGGCATTGTCAGTTTATTTTCGACTTATGAATTTGAATGTCCCTTTGGTATCTTTCGCCTCTCTTTTACCTCTGTAAATAGGGGGAAATCCGGCGTTTCTGTTTTATATTTACCTTAGTAAGAGAAGGAATCTCTGGTATTTCTATTCTCCAACCATTTTCCTCGCCAAGAATTAACACCAATTTATTAAGTTTGTACAATGCCATAACGTCAATGACCTTTTTAACGGTACTTGGTGGGAAATAATTACTGGCAAGATCCAATTCAAGTCCTCGATATGGGAATCTGGGCTGATCATTAATTGTCATACTTTTAATTGTTCTCCCGCCTGCAAGCAAACTTCTCAATGTGTGTATGCCATTAATAACAGCTGCATTAGAAAATCCGTTTATGACGATTCTTTCGTTTCTTGGATTGACTTGTAACGTATAGGCTTCTGGGTTTGTGGAAGTCGCGGGATTACTACGAAGGATTTGTATTACTTTTCGAGTTCC